AAGAAATTATAGAAGACCATAAACCACAACAACCTGAGTTTGGTTGGAAATGCATACCTTTGCCAGTTCCATGCATGTGGTAAGATCACCATATGGTGCTTGCAGTACCTTCACAGATATTATGAAATATGAAAATTCTATACGTGGAATTGATTATCTAGATTGAATAATTGGAAATAAATAATTTAACAAAACATTATGGTTAATAAGTGAATAATGAATCACTAGAACCTGAGATAGAGACATAGAGTACAATATATAACCCAGTTATAAACACGTACAGAAAAGGGTCGAGTAATAGTCAATTGTATAGTGATGGGTACATATGCAACGAGGGATTACGACACCCAAAAATCTCAACAGTCAACACTAGCCTCATATTGAACTAATAGTGGTGCACTCAAAACATCAGAACAATATATTCATTTTGAACTTACCGTGGTTCGAAGCTTATGAGTAGGAGAAGCAACAGTAGATGATTTCAGTTTCCCATCACCGCCTTCCGCAAATGCCAAAAGATCTTTGGCAAGCGATCCGACATTTGCTGATGAAGAAAGGCCGACAAGAACCTGCAATAAAAAATTACCAATTGATTTAAGGAAATACCTATGGTATTACCACACAAACAACAAGAGTAACCAGGTAGCATCCAGAAGCAGAAGCTAAGAATACTAACAATGACACGTGGTGAGCTTGAAGGTCCAGTTGATGAACGTTTCTCCTTCAGCAAAGCAGCACGTTTTTTATCACGGATCTGCACCCACAGGAAGATATCGGCAGGTTAAAAACTATAAACAAGGATGAGGAACTGTGCCCAAAAGAAAGAGTCCATTCATAGCCCCAAAAGCTGCAACCTCCCAATAACTGTAGAGTAAGCTCAAAGCAAGCTAAAAACACCCTGCGCAATCTAAGCACAGACCAATCCTATGCAACAACACTGATACGAACGCAGTTCTTGTTGCAGCACACCTCAGAATAATCATTATGAACTGATAAAAACAGCCGCGCAAGCTACAGAATTTGTCAGCTTTAACCTCTACACAGCACAGAAATAGGGGAAAAAACATATGTGCACGGTGCTGCATGGAAGACTGACCGCCTTGCTCTGCTGGATGCGCGCGGCGCGGGCACCCTTGACGACGGCGCGGTGGCTGGTCTCTGACTTGTTCCTGACCTTGTCTGGAAGCAGACACAACCAGTGAGATGAGACATGAGTCGCGGAAGGTGGAGAGGAAACGGGGACGAGAGAAGCCGCCTGTACTCACCTATCTTGTGCGCGTGGCGGGAGGCCTTGGACGCGAAGCGGCTCTTGTGGGCCTTGTTCACCTGCGCGCGGCCCCCGCCCATGTCGGCGGCGGCGGCGGCGGGAGGTCCGGCTGCTTTGCTGCGCGGGTCGTTGGAGTTGGAGGAGGGATGGTGGAGCAATGGGCAGGTTGGAGTGGACAAAATCGGAAGCGCCGGCGGCGGGAGGAAGAGGAGGTGGGGGGTGGGTTAGGGCTTCCGTCTCCCGGGAGATTTTTTATTTTATTTTATGGCAACTTGGTTGGCTTATAAGTCATATTTTTTCTCTTATAACAAATCAGCCAACGGTGCTTTCAGTTATGGCTTATCAGTTAAGCGAATAGGGCATTATTTTCCAGGCAAACAACTGCTTGCGGCCGTCAGATCCTAATCCGACGTCCTAAAATCAGGTAGGCGATATCCATAATCTCATTTTTAAGGGTCATCCGTTCAAATGCTTTAGTCGGCTGATGCCTGATAGTCGTTTTTTTCTCGTGGAGAAGGGCTAGCGTCCGGACGTCCGGTCGCAGGACTCGTTCGGAAGCTCCTCCATTGGGCAGGGGAACGGCGACGCTTGCACACCTCGACGCAATGGGAGACGAACGCGGCACCACAGTAGCTATGGGATGGGCATCGAGCATGGGGGCGGGACGGGCACGGAGTGTAGGGCGGGGATGGGGCACGGCACGATGGTGAGGCGGCTTGGGGCGTTCGGACGGCACGGCTCACCACGATGAGCGAAGCAAGTTGAGGGAGTTGGAGATTTCTCACTAGTTGTCGTAGTGTAGATGGAGAGAGAGAATAGATGGAGCAGCCCATCGTTGGTTGTTGGGCGGTCGCCAAGTGCAAGTCCAGTCCGAGGGTGTTGGTGGCGGACCTTTTGGACGAACGTCCTCACCAGAGTATTATCTTTTTTTGGGGGGGCTAGTGCCCGGACGTCCGACCGTAGGACTCGTCCGACGCTTGCCCCACACTGCGCGCTTACATCGCATCTCACGCCCTGCGCCCAGATCGCATCCACGACCCCGCGCCACACGCATCCCACGCTGACGCAGCACCCTCGGCGACCCCAACACCAACGCCAATGCCGAGGCAAGATGGAGGGAGGAGAGAAGAGGAGAAGGCGAGGCATGTCGCATGAGGTAGGAGCGAAGCCCCGCCGAGGTCGTTGTCCGCCAACCACCGGAGCCATTGTAACATGTGCAACACCCGATCTACTTTTCAAACATCCAGATGAAACATTTGCAACTTGCGTCTTTAGACATATGAAGCACTTGAAACATGCATCTGAAACACATGCAAAAACACCTGAAAACTCATAAAAAGCCATTCAAATATGGAACATCCAGATAAAACCCTTGCAACATATATGTGAAACATATGTAACATCCAAACAAACACACTTGCAACATAAATCAAAAAAACAAATAAAACATTTGGAACATCTGATTTGCAACATACGAGTATAACCATTACAACATGTGCAACATCCCGATCTACTTTTGCAACATCCAGATGAAACGCATGTAACATCCAGATAAAAACATCTGAAACACTTGAAACATACGCTTGCAACATGTGCTTTCAGCGCAATGTGACCTTGCAGCCTAGAGGAATGGAGGCTCGTTGTTGTGGCCGGCGGTGGCACATGGAGCTCGCCAGTGCGGCAGTGGCGCAGGAAACTCACCAATGGGACGGCGTCACACGAAGCTCCTCCATCGGCCAGGGGAACGGCGGCATTGGCAGCACCTCGACGCGGCGGGGGACAAGGCATGGCGCACAACGGGGGGATGGCATGGAGTGCAGGGCGGGGACGAGGCACGAGCACAAAAAAGCGGGGACGGGGCGCGGCGCGACGCGACGCGGGATGGGGGCGCCGCACGGCGGCGAGGCGGCTTGGGACGGGCGGATGGCGCAGCTCACCGTGACGAGCGAAGCGAGTTGAGGGAGTTGGAGATTTCTCGGCTACCATAGTGTAGAGATTTTTTGAGGGGATGTCGTAATGTAGAGATGGAAGAGAGACGATAGATGGAGCAGCCCGTCATTGGCTGTTGGGCCGGTCGCCGTGTAGGCCCAGGTACGAGGCATTCCAAGAGACGCCCTCGTCAGAGTATTATCATTTTTCTCTATATATATAGAGAATTTCTTTTTTTCTCTAAATTAAATGGACACAGGGCCTATATTATGTCGTTTTACCTTATAGTTTTACAAGATATAAAACATAAAAATAAATGACAAAAGTACAACAAATCCAAATGCTATGGAGTTTCTTTTTTTGTGTTACTTTATTAGATTTTACTCTGTTTATCCTTTATTGGTTTAATTCATTTTGATTCTCTCCCTCCCATGTTTTACGTACAAACTCAGGGTTTTTTTTTGTGCTACAAATAAATAGGCAGTGTTTCCCTAAACGCTAAACTGTAAACAGTCGGTCACATACAATTTAGCTCATTATTCGGGCAAAACGGTTGTTTAAACGGCCAAAACGGCCATTTAAACGGTCAAAACAACCAATTAAACAAAAACGGTGTACCACCGTGTAGCGTTTAAACGGTGTGTAAACGGACTAAACAACCGTTTAGGCAAACAGTGTTAGGAGGAATCCATGGTCACATCGTGGAGAGCTACTTGTTTCTAATTTGTGGCTCAATATTGGGCAGCTTGTGAGTTTTGCTTAAAACTCAGTTCGAGTGACTCCGGATTCTCTTTGTTATCAGATGCCCGTTCTGCACATTGTTGAGCTCATTTGCTCCAACTCTTAAGTGTTCCAACTGAAAGGTTGTGTCTATCGTAGTGCTCTTAAAATTGTTGAGCTGCCCTCTTCCTTTCAAGAACCCAACCAGCTACGTGAAGAAACATCCACAACCTATTCCAATTCACCACCGTGACAATTCTGTGAAGCAACAAAAATCAAGATGAAAATTGTAGAATCCACACCCCAGCACGAAGTATATCCATACCACGGTGGCAAGGTAACAAGTATATAAACCTTTCCAGAGTAAAGTAATATATAAGCTTCACCTTCCGTTCCTACATACTCCTAGAGTCCTAGTACATCATCACCACAGCAGGAACCCTGGCAGCATTGTATATTTCTAATAGTCTTACTTCTATTTGTATAGATCCAACAGAAGAACTGCTGACAGACTAAGGCATCGCTTGCCCAGGAATTCAATCCTGAAAGAACATTACAATCCACGAGTCATCTCTCCATGTAGATTAGCATCGCGATGCTGCTCTCAAGTGCCTCCGTTGGTGAAACAGCAGGAGATCGAAATTTATTCCATTAGTCTTTAGAGGGAACTTTAAGCTTTATGCAGAATGGTACAACAAAGATCCTGAATTCTGCTAGGGTCTAAGGAGACCTATGTCGGCCCCAACAAAGATGGAAAATGGTACATCTACTGCAAAGAACAGTAATCTGATGGATCTGGCATGCAGTGTTCTGCACGGTATCTCCACACTTATTTCTGATGTAATAACGCCATCAGAACTATTCAGCCTGCAAAGGAAACACAGTTTAACTTTAATTCAGCATTGGGAAGTGACATGTCAATGAGGGATAAACGGAAAATGAAACTTGAAAGAAGGCAGGGCGCCATAAATTTTGCAGCTTTGCAACACAACCATGTTAAATATATATTTTATACCTAAGCAAAGTGTTTAAGATACACAGCTGAACAAAGTTTGTTCATTTAATTATACTTACAATGAAATCTTCACGATTTTTTGGCAGCATTCCTCATGGATTCATATAGAGCAATACCACCATTGTGGCAGCCAGGCATTCGCTGCCTCATTCCTTGTAGCTCTTCCTGTAATTCAAAAGCATCTTTACTGATTATAAGCAGCCAACCAAAAGCAAGCTAAGGATCAGAGAGCTGCTAGAGCAGTTAAAACGCACCACAGATACTGCATACAGTTTAGTAGATTCATAGCCATCTTGAGCTCTAGAATAAAGCTCATTTACGCCACTGGAGTCAATGTTACATTTTGTAAAAAAGAATGCAGTTGACCTAACATTAACTTCTCGGCAAGAAACTCCAATGAACACAGGATCGGTCTGCAGATTGAAATGTTGATAGTTAATGAACATACTAGGAAAGTCGTGAAATCAACAGATCTTTCTTGGATGACAATTAGAAACAACTAAAAGCAACCTTTCTATTGGATCCTGTTTATGTATACGAACCACTATACTACACTACGTGACATATATTTTAGGCCTCTACTTACTAGGGAGCTAGCAGGAACTCCAGTTTCCTCAACCACTTCACGGATGATTCCGTCAAACATTTCTTGTGAAACTCGTTCAGTGAGACAAGCAAAGTCTCCATCAGTTTGATGACCCATAATTCCAATTTCTTGTGGCTGGCATAAACAAAGTGAAGATCAATAATATGAAATGTATTTTACAGATCTGCACTCAACCGATTGTTTCAGGCTTAAAAACTAAATATTTTTCTCCTCATGCACCGTCCCCTGCCCCAACTTCCTCCAAAGAAAGAAGCCATGTTTCCAAGTTCTAATTTTGATTCATCCTCTAAAAGTAGCTTCATAGTCAGCATGCTAACTGACAGGGGAGAAGAAACAATTTTAAGCAATAAATAGGGCTGAGCAATGCATGATTTATAAATTTCAGTTAAATTTCAATATACATTTTCCTTAGTCCATAATTATGACATATAGTTTCCTTCTTGAAAAGTCACTTCAAGTAAACATGCTACCTCAAAAAGAAAATCTCAGCATGCTGACAGGCAGAAGAAACCACTAAATCAGGCAGTACTGCAGCCTGCAGTAATGTTGCTATCATCTTTATTTTGCAGCGTAAGAGAAACTACATTACACCTAGTGCTACATTTGTCAATTAGTTCTATAAAAACTAAGCTGTACATCAAATATCTACACAGATCTTCGTTTTCATCATCTGCACTCATATTGTCAAGCAATCTTAAAGGATTTACCTCCGAGTGTCCTCCAGGGAAAACATAGTATCCTGGAAAGTCCACCACATTGTAACTCCTTTGCAATACAATAATCTTTTCGTCAGATGTTTCAACTATAGCACCATTGCCCAGTGGATCTGACATGTGTTGGCAACGTACAGAATCATCTATTGAAAGAGGAATTGTTTTGGTCAAGGCTGATCATTCTTACAATTCTGTACAAAGATTGACACCATGTTGTCTGAGGCTCTGAGCACACAAAATACTAAGACAAACTATCTAATGAATAGTCACTGTCCCAGAGCAAACTTACTAGGAAATGGAAGGTGAAACAGAGGGACACGAATATACTTATCAAGGATTTAAATTTCTGAAAGCTGAAGCAATGGAAGAAACTAGAGGACTTCAAAGTTTAAGATTCAAAAAGGCCCTGATACGCACAACCAGCTGTATTAAGTTTCAGATTACAAATTACCTTCAGATGGAACCAAAAATTTCTCCCACGATGGATTGAGATTTGTTCCCACAAATGTCCTATTTCATGCAAGTAGAAACAATTGTTAATTCGAGGCAGTGTTCAAAAGGCGACTAGGCATCCAGGAGAGTGCTGGGTCCGCCTGGACGCCTAGGCAACAAGGCACCACTGTTTCCCAAGGCGAGCTGGGTATGCCTGGATGCCTAGGCGACACATTTGAAACACTGATTCGAGGCATTAAATCAAAATATCACAAAGAAAGTTACAGGCTGTAAAAAAATTGGTTTAAAGATCTGTTGGAAATGAACACAAATGGTCAAACCAACCTGTAGTCTGTGAGACCCAAATGAAGTGAGACACAGTACTCATGACCATGATTTGAGCCATCTTTGTAGTGCAAGGCATTTCCTCCGTACTGAAATTTGTTGTTGTTGTCAGTGTTTGCATTCTACTACCCGATGAACGCAGTAAAGAAGGTAAAGAGAGATTGTTTCAAAATATTGCATACATGAACTTCTATAATGACACATGTTTAGCTATACAGAAAAGAAGCAGAAATACTAACACATGCTAGGACACAAGTCATCACTACTTAACATTCATTGCTTGGCAATTCCGTGCAGATAGTAGAAGTGAAGATGCAAGTGCATTTGGATGAAAGTAATGCATGTAACTGACTAGGAATTCCCTAAGGACTCAGAAACACATATAGGGAATCCAATATTTTAACAAAGCCTTGAGAGCTACATTTAGGAGCTTGTGTAAATTCTGAGCGAAGACATGTTTTTTTGTATAAATCGTCTTCGTATAGAGCATGCACCAAACAACTTAATATTCAAGAAGCTTTCAGTTTTCTCATTTTAATACAACATGTTTGTCAGTAAATGGTAGCATCTTCAAGACTTCAAGTATCAGTGGAGCAGCAAAAAAGAGCATGCCAGGATAGGTCTAAAAATACATACCCGAAACTTTGTACCGCTGTATAGAGATGGGTTCTGCTGAAGGCTTTGGTTCCATATCTACAAGATCAACAAATATAAAGAATGACAATGGACGCATGCATGCGTCAGATAGATGTATGATATAGGTAGACAAACATTACCTCACTTATAGATTCCTCCAAGGCTGCATCAGGATGGGGAATCCTGTCGAATGACCGATCAAACTTAACCAAGACCTTCAGTTCGCACCATGACCTCAATCAGAATGTTACTGTGTCGTAAAGCAAGACACTTTTGGTACTTCCTCCATTCACAAATAAGTCCATCTATAGGTTTGTACAGTCAAACTTTTTTTTTACCTTTGACTGTGAATATAGAAAATTTTATAAGGATTGACAACACAAGATTTAGCATTACAAGATTCATTGTGAAAAACGCTTCATAATATATGAGGGCCTATTTGGCTCAAGACCTGAAAATTTTGCCTGGTCAGACAGCTCCCCCAGTCCGTCGGTTTCCAACGCACAAGTCAGGCTTCGATTCAAACAGGCCCTAACTCTTTTTATTTAAAGTAACAAGTAATGTATTTTTATAAATATTATTGATCAAAGTATCATGTTGAAACTCTGTTATACTATTTCCGGTCAGAGAAATATGGCAGCAGTTATTAGCACTCCACACTGTCTTGAACGAGCTAAAGAAATAACATCACGGCAGTTCATGGCAACAGCAGCACACATCCAAACACTCGTGGCTTAGTCGCTCTATTGTTCATCAGAAGGCCATAGCTGGAATGCGTCATTCAGGATTTGGGGAAACGACATGATAAACAGAAAAATACAGGCGAAGCTAGCAGGATGCAGCAACCAAAAATCGTTCTTGCCGCCGTGCGGTGGTCCGATGGAGGAAACGGCCGGCGGAGGCAGGCGCCGTTCCACGCAACCAAACGGATCATGCAATCGGGAGGGAGACGAGGGGGAGGAAGGGGAAGAGGTACGCACGCGGGAGCGAGGGAGGCCGTCGGGGCAGGAGAGGAGTATCTTGAACGCCGTGCCCGGATCTGCGGCGGAGGCGGAGGCGGAGGCGGGGGCGGCCATACGGGCTCCCGGTGCGGGTGGCGGAGCGACGGAGACGGGGTTGGCCGGTGCGCGGCAGCGGCGGTCGGCGGCAGGTTGGGTGTCAGAGGCAACGTACAGTACAGTACAGTACGAGACGCTCGCGCGGTCGCACTGTCAGAAAAAGCTCCTATTATGTCGTGTCGCATTTGTTGTCTGAATGTCAGGAAATTGCAAAATTGTCTGTTAGCGGATGGATCGCTCAAACAAGAACATTTTGTATAAGACCCTTTGCCCAAAATGCTAAATTTTTTAAGATTCTTCGTCACATCGAATCTTTGACGCATATATGAAGCATTAAATATAAATAAAAAATAAAACTAATTACAGACGAAATCCACGAGACGAATCTTTTAAGCCTAATTAGACTATGATTGAACACTAATTGTCAAATAACAACGAAAATGCTACCATATTATTTTGCCAAAAATTTCGGCATCCAAACTGGCCCTAAGATCTTGCAGATTTGTGTGTGAGATACTGAACTGTTGACATGTGCGGATACACTGTACATAGCAGTGCTAGCGGCCGAACATCCCTATCCGGAAGCCCGCGCGTTGCATTTCGTTACGGAGCCAGCTCGGCTCGGCTCCGTCCAGCTCGAGCTAACTTGTTATGCCAATGAGTTAGTTTAGCTCGGCTTGTTAATATTACGAGCTAGAGGGATAGCTCGGCTCGGCTCGTTATCGAGCTTGAGCTGACTCATTTAGCTCGTGAGCTACTAAAAAAATAGGACACACATATTTATAATATTTATGCTACATTAATCACAGAAGATGACGTTCACCACTATACAACAATACATGATTAATACATATTAGGTTCTTCAAAAGTATCAACTATGCAGCATAGCTGGTCCATCCATGATCATGCAGTTTCAGCATGCTAACTAGTTCTTGCCACCACAAGCTTCAAAAAGTCCACAAATTCAATGTCACCATCATCATCTTCTCTCTAAAAAACAATCTATAAAATCAACATTTAAGTAACACAATAATTATAAAATTAAAATTCATATGAAACAGCTGAAAATAAGGATTACATACCAATAGAATAGGTGTACAATTCTAAGTCAACATCATCATCTTCTGGATTCATGGTCATGGGCTAATAGGCATTAGCTCGTTTCAGCTCGTGAGTAGCTCGCGGGCTGGCTCGTTAAAATAGCGAGCTAAACTTTCAGCTCAACTTGTGAAAAAGTTAAAACGAGCCATGTCAAGCCGAGCTAAGCCGGTCACGAGTCGAGCGAGTTGGTGAGCCGCGAGTATTTTATCCAGCCCTACCCGAGCGACAAGAAGGGAAGGGGGTGGCGTCTCCGATTCGGAAGGATCCGGCCACGGCATTGTATGGATGCCCTGCCGGCGCCGACGCTGAGAGGAGAACACACCGAGACGATGCAGCAGAAGGTGAAGAGGAGAGATGCAACACATGATCTGCTTTTAAAACATCCAAATGCAACAGTTGCAACATGCGTCTAAAGGCAGATAAAACACTTGAAACATGCTTCCAAAATATTTAAAAAAACACCTGAAAACTATTGCAAATATACGCAATATCTAGATAAAACACATGCAACGTATGTGTGAAATATATGCAACATCCAGATAAACACACTTGCAGCATGCGTCCAGAAAAACACAGATAAAACAATAGTAACAGACTTTTGCAACATACGTGTACAAACATTGAAACATATGCTGCATCCCGATCTACTTTTGCAACATCCATCCAAAACACTTGCAACATACCTCTGAAACATCTGAAACACTCGAAACATACTCTTGGAACATGCGCTTTCAGCAAAACATGGCAACCAGACGCGCAGAGCACGACACAGCGGGAGCCGGCTGTGCGGTCACGGTGAAGGAGGATGGCAACGGACGAGCGGCTGTGCGGCCCCCGGTGAAGCGGGTGCGCTGCCCTCGGTCGCTAGTGTGTGGCTGCCCCCGACAAAACGGCACACACAGTGCCCGCGTTGGAGGTGACAGCAACAGTTGGATAGTATGGCCTCACGCGGGGGAGCACGCCGCGGCGGTACGGGCGTGGTGGGCGATGGAGAGGAAGGCTGGCAGAAGGCGTGTGGGAGCCACGGCGGAGCCGTTCTCGGAGGGCAGTCGTGGTGATGCGTGATTTTTTTAATCAACGATGATCGAAGGGAAGCGAAGGGAGCGGATGGGAATGGATTAGCTTTTGGGTCCACCAATTCCGACGTCTTGTTCCCAGCGTTATCGCTGTACATATGTTCGGGACCAGTAGTAGAATTGAAACAACAAGATAAGACTGTCTCCAACGCCGAGACGCAAACCCAAAAATGTGTCCCCAATAGTGTTTTGCCTACCCGAAATCGCTCTCCAACAGCTGACGCAAACACGTGACCCATTTTGCCTACCAGACCGATTGATACGCAAAAAAACATCTCCTCTCTCCTCGCTACGCAAATCATCCGCGCTCGCTCGCGTCGGCACCACTCGCGTCCGAGGTGGCCCGTTCCCGCATCGGCCGTGCCGCCGGCCCCGCTCGTCCACGCTCGCTCGCGTCGGCACCACTCGCCAACGGCGGCAGCGCCGCCGCGCCCGTGCCGACCCTGCTCGCCCACGCTCGGGCACTGCGTGCGCGCATCTAGCGTCCGCGCTTGCTCGCCCGCCGACGCGTGCGCTCTCTGGCGCTGCCGTACTCGCCCGTCCGCGGTCCGCTGGGGGCGTGCGCTCGTGTGCGCGTTCGCGCTCGGTTGCCGCTCGCGCTTGCACGGCGGGGCACGGCCTGCGGGGCAAGGCAGGGAGCGTGTAACACCCCAGGTGTTTGTCACTAGTTAAGCAATGGGTTTGAGCTCAAACATGACATGTCGAGTGGTAATGAAGGTGTCAAGATCAAATCTACATGATGGAGCTCCAACTTAAACTTGGGCCACACACATTTGCTTACATATGGACCCTTGTTAAGATTATGCAAGAGTAATGTTAAACATGCTTATTCCATGTACATTACATCCCCTTGCATCCATCTAGACCCGTGGAAAAGTTTCATGAAGTTTGGAATCAAAAAGGCACATGAAATGATAAGTCATATCTTTGCATGAATTACTTTATCAAGTGGATGGAAACCTATGAAGCCAACCAAACCTTGGTACCTTGCTCAAACAACTCTACTTGCACTCATGAACAAAAGTTATGAAGGGTTCATGTTGAGCAGGTGGCCAGAAAATGCTCCAATGGATCAAAAAGGATAATTTAAGCTTCATCGTGATCCTACTTTGGTCAAAGTAGAACAGTAGGTTCTATACCAGTTTTGAGGTTGGACCATAAATGAAAGTTATAGTCCATATCATGTAGAACAAACTTGGTTTTTGGACTAAGAGCTAGATCAGCTTGGAAGTAAGTCAAATCGAGGTCACAAGATCGAATTTGCTGTGGTTTTCAACACTTAGAATTATTATAAGTCAGTTTCGCTAAGCAACGACGTTGACATTCCGCGTTCTCCGAAATTCGTTAAGCAACTTGAGTTGGTCTGAAAATAAAAGTTAAAGGTTATATTATGGCGAAGAGCATGCAAAAAGTTGGAACCCGTTTGGCTTCGTGTTGATGGTTAATTCTGAGTTTTTTCCTAATCACAATCGTCACGCTGACAAACCAAAGTTTGGAGCACGTTATCTGCTAAACCATAACCCTAATGACCCTGAACCCTTAAGAAAAGTTGGAGAGCATCAGGTGTAGACCAAACTTCGTTTTGGGCCCATAGACCAAATCGGCCCGTAGCTGGCCCAAATCTGCGCTCCACCATGCCCACACCGGTGCCCGCCACCTGTTCGACCGCTTGCCGACGTGGTCGCTGCGCATGGACGCCACGCGCCTCCGCCGTTGCCGCGTGTCCTGCTCTCTGCCGCGTGCCCTGCACCGCACTCCAAGTAGTGGAGCACCAGGACGACTCGCCTCTCCACTCCCAGCTCTTCTTCTCGCCTCTCTCCGCGTGCCCTCTTGCGGCCGCCATTGTTGCCACCGCGAGCGAGCTTGGCCGCCGTCGTTCTTCCACCTCCGAGCGCCTGGCAGCCCTGCATCCTCCGTACCGGCTCCGCCGTCCTCTCCTGGTCCTCGCGTGCCCCTCCTCGGCCTTCCTTCGCCGCTGTAGAGCGTGGCCACGCGACAGCCATGGCCGCCGTGCGCCTGCTCACGTGGCCAGCGAGCCTCGGGCCGCTGTGGGGCAAGCCATTGGCACCTGCGGGTGTGCGCGGGTCCCTCGACGCTTCCCCGTCACTCGCCGCCGCCGGCGAGCCTCCTCCGGCCGAATCCCCGACGACCTCCCTACTGTGATTCGCGTCAGGGACCTTGTCTTCAAATTCGACAAAAGGAGAGGGCCTTTCTGCAGAACCTGTGACTCATGTGAATAGTGCCATAAGGACTGGTTTGTAATTATTTTGCAGGAACTTTGGAAATTCATAGGAAATTCGTAAAATAGAAAATGAGGACTTTTTGGAATCCTTGTGAAATTCTCTATACATTAGATCTATAATATAGCATGTTTTAGTTTCAATATTTTGCGGTAAAAATATATTTGTGCAGTAAGGTTGTAATGCTAGTTGAATTTGTTATTTTCCATAACTGCAGATCTAGGGATCCAAATGAAGTGAAATTTTTGTGGCATACTACTCATGTAATAGTTGATGTGTGATAAAAATTTCATGAGTATTGGATGAAGTATGAGTGAGTTATTGGTTTATCTCGCTCTCACATGATTTCTTGCTTTAGCAACTTGTCTTTTTCATAGAGGTTGCTATACATATTCAAATGGAGTGAAATTTGTACAGTAGACTATTGAGAGGATATGTGAGCCATTGTAATTTTTGTAGAATTTATTGTATACTTTTGGTATATGTTCATTAAGTCACCTTGTTATCTAAAATAAATTAAGAAATGCATTAAAAGAATTTATTTGGTCATGGACACTAGTTTTTCTGGTGTTCTTTAGTCATGTGTGAAATGTTGGTAAAG